GAGGCCCTGACAGGTTTCAGTTACTAGGTCACTTGCCTGCCCCTTGCTCCTCACCTGTGACAGTCACCAACATGGAAGCCACCAGTGGGCGGTTGTTGTCTAGCTTGCGGCTGAGTCGAAGCTCCCCACTGGTCTGGTTAACGACAAGCAGCTGCAATTCATTGCCCCTCTCAAAGGAGTAGAAGAGATGGTCGGAGACATCAGGGTCATAAGCCGGGATGCGCCCAATGATGCCTGATGGGAAGGTGTCTGAGCGATTGGACACATAGTTGTTGAAGAGGATCTGGAAGTTGTTGAGCACAGGGCTATTGTCATTCTGGTCAACCAGGCGGACGTGCACAGTGGCCCGACTAACCAGAGTGGCAGAGGTGGCTTGTACCACAATCACATATTCCTGGCGAGCCTCATAGTCCAGGTCGATGAGAGCTGTCAACTCTCCAGAGAAGATGTCCATTTGGAACAGCTCAGGAATGTTCCCCTCCACAATCTGGTACATTATATGAGCATTGGGGCCTTCATCAGGGTCCACGGCAGTGATCTGAGCCACCACTGAGCCCACAATGCTATTCTCCTTCACTCGCACCTCAAACTCCTCAGCTGGGAAGATGGGTGCATTGTCGTTTACATCCTGCACTGTCACCTGGATGCTCACTGGAGTGCGCAGTGGGGGCACGCCTCGGTCCACGGCATAGGCAGTCAGTTCATACACTGGTACTGCCTCCCGATCCAGTCGCCTCACTGTTCGGACAATGCCAGAGGTGGGCTCAATGGTGAAATCTCCATCCCCATCTTCCCCATTTTGGAAAGTATACTGGACTCTGCCATTAGCGTGAGCATCCCGGTCAGTGGCTGAGATCTGCAGGACACTGGTGAAAGGTGGGGCATCCTCAGAGACCAGTCCTGTGTAGTGGGAGGCAACAAACTGTGGAGCATTATCATTTACGTCATTGACCATTACCTCCACATAAGTGGTATCTGCCTTCTGTGGGATGCCATTGTCCCGAGCTGTAATAGCCAGTGTATAGGTCACCTGGTCTTCATAGTCCAGTGGGGCCTGTAGTGTAATGGCCCCTGAGTCTGCATCAATGCGGAACTGGGGCAGGTTGTCCTCCAGGAGATAGGTGATACGAGCATTTTCACCCACATCATCATCAGAGGCACTGATCACCACCACAGTGCTACCCACTGGCCGATCCTCGTTCACACTCACGGAGTAGTGGGCACTTTGAAAAACAGGCCGGTGAGTGTTGGCATCTGTGATGTTGATGTGCACATAGCAGTGATCATGAAGAGCCCGGTCAGATGCAGTTAGCACCAGCTTGAAGTAGCGTTCCTGTTTGTAGTCCAGAGGCAGAGCCAGTGTCACCAGACCCACACCCCCCTGGGTGCTGATGGCAAAGCGATTCCGAGTGTTGCCACCTGTGATCTGGTAGCTGATGGCACTGTTGGCATCACGGTCTACAGCAGTCACACTGACCACACTGGTGCCCACAGCCGCGTCCTCATTCAATCGTAGGTGGTACTCCTTCATTGTGAATTCTGGCCGATTGTCATTAACATCCAGCACTGTCACTGTGACACTGGCTGAGGCTGAGCGTGGGGGTGAGCCATGGTCTCTAGCCTCTACACCAAAGAAGTAATGTTCCACAGACTCACGGTCCAGAGGACCACTCACAGATACCCAACCGGTGGCACTGTTTATCACAAAGGGTGTATCAGATGCCACACCAGTTAGGGAGTACTCCAATCTGGCATTTTCCCCATGGTCTGCATCCACTGCCTGGATGTGGATGACCGAGTGGCCAAGGGGGGCGTTTTCCAGGACAGAGACCTGGAAGGGTGTGCTCACAAAGATAGGAGTATGGTCATTGATGTCCACTACCTGGATACTAGCCAAGCCTGTGTTGTTAGAGAGTGGTGGCCGGCCTGCATCCTGAGCCCGGATTCGCAAGGCATACTCTCGCTCTGCCTCAAAATCCAGGGGTGCCACCACCTGGATCTCACCCGTGAGGCTGTCGATGGCGAAGTGGCCACGGCTGTTGCCGCTGATGATGTTGTAGTGCACCAGTCCATTAGCATCCTTGTCCCGGTCGGTGGCCGTGACACGCAGTACCACCGTGTGGGGGCGCACATCCTCCCGCACCTGCGCCACATAGCGCTTCTCACTGAACTGGGGGGCGTTGTCATTTTCATCCAGCACAGTTATGTGCACACGCACGGTAGCAGAGCGCGGCCCAGGCTCTTGCCCCTGGTCACTGGCTTCCACCACCAACTCGTAACTTTCCATGTGCTCGCGGTCGACGCGACCACTGGTGCTGATCAGGCCCGAGCGAGGATCAATCTCGAAGGCAGCAGTGGCGCGGGCAGCTGGCGGCCCCACAAAGCGGTAACGCAGGTTGGCGTTGGGGGGCGCGTCGCCGTCCGTCGCACGCAACTGAAGGATGGGGTAGCCTTCCTCCACGTTCTCGCGAAGAGTCTCTCGGTATTGCGCCTGCTCAAACACTGGCGCGTGGTCGTTGCGGTCGGCTACCGTGACGGCCACCATGGTGGTGGCCGAGAGGCGCGGCACGCCGTGGTCCTGCGCCGTCACGCGCAGGTAGTGGCGCTCCATACTCTCGCGGTCCAGAGCGGCCTCCGTGCGGATGAGGCCGCTCTGCGGATCGATGCTGAACAGCTCCAGCGAGCGACTGTTCATGAGCGCAGCCAGCGAGTAGACCAGGCGCCCGGCCTCGCCCGCGTCCGGGTCCTGCGCCACCACGCGTAGCACCGAGGTGCCCGCCGCCTCGTTCTCTGGCACTAACGCCTGGTAGTTGTACTGTGGAAACTGCGGGTGGCGGTTCGCGGCGCGGCGGGGGCGAACCCGGCTCGCTGGGGGCATTCTCCAGGCTCCAGGCTGTACCCAGACCCCCGGGGGGCGCGGCCCGGGGCGCTGCGGGAGGAAGCGGCGGCGGAAGACGCGGCGGGAGCGCATGCGCTCGGGCGTCGGCCCAGGAGCTGTCCGCGACCCGCGTGGTGCTGAACCAGAGGCGGGAGCTATCCGTGCCGGGCGCGGTGCTGAATCAAACCTGGGGCCGGATCCCTCAGACCCCGGAGAACAGCCCGGTCGGGGAACGGTCCTCTCCGCTCGGGATGTTGCAATTCTCTCCACCTGACCCCTGCGCCCCAGTGCCCACATTTCCCCGCAACAGCGCGTGGTTCCTACTTTTTTGGGGATGCCTCTCCCAGCATTCCTCGGGGAGGACATCAGTTTGGAACCATGAGGCCGAACCAGAAGGTCCGACGGGAAGGGCGAGCTGTTTTCTGGACCCAACACCCCTGGAGACATAGCCTCTGGCGATAGACTATCTCTTTGCAAGGGTCCTGTCCGCCCGCAAGAGGAGACCTCTGGGCGCCAGCATAACAGAGACCCTGGTCCTTGTCCTGTAACATCTCGCCCGCGACTGCCTAATGCCTGGACCCCATATTCCGCCCCCAGCCTTGCGTCCGGCTGCTCAGGGAGCCCTCGATCACTCTGGGCGCTTTGCCTTCTCCCTCGGAGCCCCACGAAAACAGGGTCCCTGACTCCAAGACCAGGCTCTCCATCCTTTCTGACCCCAGGCGGCTCGGGACAAAGAACTAAGGCTCCGCCGCCGATCCGCGCTTCTGGCCCCGTAGCGGCAGGTACCCCAGGATCCCAGTCTTGGCCCCCGCCGCCCCCCAGCTCCTCCCGACTGAGAGGGAACAAAGAGAGAAGAAGCAGGAGTACCGGGGTCGTCGGCCCCCTGAGACCCTTCCACGGCGGCCGCCTCGCCATCACCCCCCACCTTCCCACACGGCCTCCACCACCCCCCGCCCCGGTCCGGGTCTTGGGCCCGCCCCGCCGCTCGGGCCCCCTCCCGGGCCCCTGCCACCGCCCCTGTCCCCCGCCTCTCGGCCTGTCGCTCCGCACCGCCACCGCCCTCTGGGCACCATCTACTCTGCGGCCAGAGCCCCTTTGGCGTGCGGCCTCGGCTTTTGCCGCCCCCACCACAGCATCCCCGACGCTGCTGCCGCCTCCCGCCGCTCCAACATGGCTTCCGGCCGCCGCTATGGTTCGTTCCACCTCCGCCCCGAAGTCCCAAATCCGGTGGTATAGCCCATCGCGCATGGCAATTCTGACTACCGTAGCTATTGCCACCATCTTTGTTGAGGGCACGTCACAAGTACTGCCCACGGTGCTGAACAGGGCACGGAAGTTCTCCGCCCCTAGATCCACCCTATTCGTTGCGGCCACCGCCCTCACCCTTCTCCCTCCTAGAGCGCTCTCCTGGCTCCGCTTTCCAGCCGTTTCTCTGTTTCGTGTCTCTGTTTCTGTGCACCTCCCTAAGCACTATTTCTAAACCCTGTCTCGGATTTTGGTCTGAAAATTCGGTGCATGTGCTACGCAGAGAGATCTTTCCCACACGACTCGTGGGCGGAAGTAGCATGTAGAATCCTGGGGGCTGGACGGGGACCCGGGCCGCCAGCAGCCAGAACAATAGCTTTAACTGTTTGATCAGCGGCTTTTAATTCATGAAACATGTTGCGAAGATTAGCTTGTTGAGAACGCCCCTGTGGAGTAGGGACGAGAGGTGAGCTGCCCGAGACGGGAGCAGAGGCAAACCCTTCCCTATCTTGCCCTCCCCAGCGCTCTCCCAAGCTGCGGGCTCCTCCACTGTCCAGGTCGCGGGTTTCGTGCCCTGAGGTGCCATGTGGAGCCGGCGCTGCCCTACGGCTGCAGGCCCGGAGCCCCGCCCCTATCTCTCCACGACCTCGTCCCTTAACCCCTTGAAGGGATTAACGGAAGCTCAGTTCCCCGGCTGGCCCTGCACGGTGCAACTCCAGGAGAAGTCAGTCCAGGCTGGCCAATGGACAGAAGTGGCGGAATAGGCGTAACCGAAGACGAGCAGGGGCGTGGGGGGGTGAAGGCGGAGCGTTCCAATCAGAAAGTCACTGTTTCTATTGGCACAATGGAATGCTCCGCCCCCTACGGCGGACTCATTGTCTGGAGGGGAGGGAGCTCTGGGGGTTCCAGCACAGCAGGAGAGATAATCCAGGAGCCGCTCAGTAGACCAGCTTGCCAAGGCAACAGAGACTACGGGCTGACGCGTCACGTGCAGAGGGCGCGGGAGTCCCAGAATCCAGGAGGAGTTTAGGATCGGGATTGGAAATGCTCCAATGGGTGCGGCTCCTGCTTGAAACCCGGGAGAACTCCCGACTAAGGTCTCTGGCCCGCCCCATATGTAACTATGACATCACCACCACCCAATCATACAGCGCGTTCTTTGGCCTCTGGACTTCTTCGCTTCCGGGAGGCGGAGCTCTCCTCGCGACCCACGTGTCTACCTAAGTCTGGTCGGTGGGTTTCTGAGGTGCCAGGGCTCGTTTCCCATTGTGAGGCCCCCCCTAAGGTGCGAACTCCACTCCTGATACAAAGTCTGGGTTCCTATGAGTGTGAGCATCTCCAGAAGCGCGAAAGGGGAATTCTGTTGGATGGGCGCGCAGTCGTAGCTGCGGCTGGAGGAGGAGGACCAGGGACGTGGTTGCCCATATACCCGCTCTTCTGGATGCACAATCTAGAGAATGGAGGGTACAAAACTACACCAGTGAAGGAGGGAGACAGGCGGAACGCTGGGGAGAGGAGTGCTGGGTTACCTCAGGAGGCTCCTGAGCCAATTTAGCCATCTGGGGAGACTTCACGTAGATGCCTGTGCAGTCTTGAATAACCAAGAGGAGGGCTGCAGCTGCAAGGGAAGTAGTCGTCCTGATCTTTAAGGCTGTATGGGCAAATATGCAAACACTTACAGGGGTCCTCCTGTCTTCATTAGGGCTGACATTGGCTTCCACTGGTGTTTCATGTAGAGCAAGACCTAAAGATCTGGACATTCCGGACCCACGTTGTGACTGCCATGATGGCTCTCCGTTTCTCTCCCTGCTGTTCTGTGTTCACTGTTGTCCTCCCTTCGTGGCTGCTGTTCCGTGGAGACCTCCCCAAACCCATCTGCATTCATCTGCAATCTCCACCCCCGGTGGCAACTTCTAATGCTCCTGTAAAAACTAAGTATTGGTGATATTTCCTCCAAGTCCACTCTTGCCTCTGTGCTAGGAACATTGCTAGACCCCTACAAGATTTATCCTTACTCTCTCCTCTTCACCTTCAAGCTAGAGGATCCACCTAGAGTCCAGAGACTTGGATTTGAGGCTGCTGTGGAGCAGAGAGTGAGTAGGCCAAAAGACTAGAGGACAAAGTCTTGGCAGAAATTACTGTCTAGGACATCTTGGCCTCTCTCCTTCCTTTTCTTCCCTGTGCTGTGTTTGCCTCCTCCTTCCTCTCTGTCAAGGGAAACTTGTTGGGAAAGAGTGGGCCAGAAGCCACCCACCCAGCTCAATTGTCCAACAACTCTTCTTTTTTTTTTTAAGATTTATTTTATTTATTCATACAAGAGCTGGAGTGCAGGCCAGAAGAGTGGGGGTGAGAGGATTCACCAGAGACAGAGGAGGGGAGCAGCACTATGAGGCTATCTGCAGCCACTGCAGCATGAGTTCAATGCCCAGCCAGGGAGCTAACCCACATGGCGCTGCAGACCTCACTTGTCTTGTCTGCTGCTCCTCTCAACAGTATATTTCAGTCAATCTGCCTGTGCTGCTCCCCAGTCTGTCTTTGGTGGATTCTCTCACCCCCTGCACCTCTGGCCAACACCCTAGCTCTTGTATGCATAAATAAGTAAATCTTTTTAAAAAAAATGCAAGAGTAGAAGGGCAACTTCCTATACTGGATATCAAGGTTTGAAAAGCTATACAAACTAATTCTGTATGGTGCTTGTGCTAGGACAGACAGACCAATGGAACAAAATATACAGATGGGCCTGTACGTGTGGAGACTTGAATTTTGATAAGGGAGGGTCTTGAAAGTCAGCATGAGAAAAGGGTGAGTTTTTCAATAGTGATGGGTCACAGCTGGATATCCAAGTATAAAAAATTAAATGAGATCCCTACTTTATACTACCTGCATAATTAGTTCCAGATAGATTTGATGCCTGAATATGAAAGGAAATACAATATGATTTTTAGAAGACAATATAGATCTTCATGACTAAAGATTCTTGGATGGGACAATGAATGCACTAATCATAGAAGAAAATACTGAAAAATCAGGTTATATTACAATTAAGAACTTCCTTTCATCAAAAGACATTGAGTGGGGCCTCCCCTGGTGGTGCAGCGGTTGAGCGCTGGGCTGCAAGGCTGCTCGCAGCCTCTGCAGCGCTGGTTAGTTCCCCGGCCTCTGGCGAGGGTCCCACAAAAAAAAAAAAAAAAAAAAAGACACATTGAGTGAAAGAAGATATTGTATGAGACAACCCAAGGACTCATATCTCCAATACATACTACAAATCAATAAAAGATAAAACAACCCCGTAGTTCAATAGGCAAGAGACCTGAACTGGCATGTCACAAAGGCTCCAAATAACAAAGTAATGAGATGTCTCAGATTCCTGAGAACCTGTTTCCCAGGACACCACTCCCAGATCTAGCCGAGCTATGCTTTTTTGCTATCTATGCTCTTCAGTCATTAGGGAAATGTAAATTTTTTTAAAGATTTATTTATTTATGCATATAAGAACTGGGGTACAGGCCAGAGGTGCGGGAGGTGAGAGGATTCACCAGAGACAGTGGGGAACAGAACAGGCAGATTGGCTAAAATACACTGCTGAGGGGAGCAGCAGGTGTGACAGGAGAGGTCTGCTGAGCCATGTGGGTAGCTCCCTGGCTGGCAGGGGATCGAACTCACGCTGCAGAGGCTGCAGATAGCTTCATAGTGCCGTGCTTAACCCCTTGCGCCACCAGGGAGGCCCACGGAAATGTAAATTTTAAAATATTACTTGCTCTATCAGAATGACTACAACAAAAATGATAGACAATACCAAATTTCAGGGAAGATGAGGGACTGGAATTCAGACACTACTGGAGGAGCACACATTGGCACAACTGCCCCAGAAAACTATCTGGCAGTACTTTTCTGTGACCTGGAAGTTTCACTCTTGAGAATATGTGTCTCAATTTAATGCCTGTATACAACAGTGTTCCTGACAGCATTATTTGTAATGGACAGAAATGGGAAACAACTGAGAAGTCCTCAACAGCAAGTAAACAAATGAGAGCATGTTCCATACAATTGTGGGAAGGACAAAGTACAACCACATTATGGCAGATGACTCTCAAAAACTTAATGATGATGGGCCTCCCTGGTGGCGCAGGGGTTAAAGACAGTGTTATCCAGCTATTGCCAGCCACTGCAGCATGAGTTTGATCCCAGGCCAGCCAGGGAGCTACCCACATGGCGCAGCAGACCTCTCCTGCCTCGCACACTGCTCCCCGCAGCAGTGTATTTCAGTAGATCTGCCCGTCCTGCTCCCTACAATCTGGTGAATCGTCTCGCCCCCTGCACCTCTGGCTTACACCCCAGTTCCTGTATACATAAATAAATAAATCTTTTTAAAAAAACAAATCTTAATGGTGAACAAAGTGGCCAAATAAGAATTTATACTGTTGGGCCTCCCCAGTGGCACAACGGGTGGAGCACAGTGCTATGAAGCTGTCCGCAGCCTCTGCAGTGTGGGTTCAATTCCCAGCCCGCCAGGGAGAAACCCACATGGCGTGGAAGACCTCTCCTGCCTCGCCCGCTGCTCCCCTCAGCAGTATCTTCGGTCCTTCTGCCTGTTCTGCTCTCCGCTCTGTCTCTGGTGAATTCTCTCACCCTCCCGTGCCTCTGACTGTACCCAGTTCTTGTATAAATAATCTTTTTTAAAAAAGAATTTATACTGTACAATTCTATTATATAAAGTTCAAAAACAGGCAAAACTTATCTGTAATGACCTACAGGGAAGTCTGAGGGAGAAGCCACTGATTAAGAGCAGGCACATAGTGAGCTTTAGGAACTAGTGACAGTCTATTTGTTGACCTGAGTGGTGGTTATATTAGCTTTCTCTGCCTTTACTCATTTAGCTGTACTCTGCACACCATACTTTTCATAGTGTTATTCTTTCATAAATTAAAAAAAAAAGAGGTAAATAAAATTGCCCTTACCTAGTTGGAGCCTTCATATGCATCTCTTGATAACTGAGCAGGCAGGTGCTCTTCATCCGACCCCTTAGCCCAGACTTGCATATGCATTTGCAGCCTGTGATCTCTAGCGCACGTCTCAGACATGGGGTCAGCACCTTTAAGTACCCAAGAGGTTAACCCAAATCCCCATCCTTCATTGCCTTCGAAATGAGTTTTTCTCCTCTTAAATACTTTCCCTTCTTTGAGTAGCTGTTCTAGCTCCCACCCTCCCCCTTCTCCTACCTTGCCACATCCTGTGTCTACCATCCTTCCAAGCAGCCACTAAGAACACAGGTGTTTCGTCAAATACAGTTCCTTACCTGAGTTCTCTGGCTAATGATTTTCTCTGGTGGTTGAGAGACCATCATCAAGGTGTTTGTTGAAGGGGTTCTAGAGTCCGAGAGTCTCTCGGAGTGTCTGTGTGCTGGCCAGTATTTAACTTTGTCAGCTGGACCTCCTGCATCCCTTACAAACACGTGCAGGGGCCTCGGAGAATCCTGAAGAAGAGGCAGGTGCTTTTGATCCTCCTGCCATTAGGCCACATTTGTTTTTCATAGGTCCCAGCACTGGGATAAACGACACAGCACAGCCCTGCTCTTCCCAGGTCAGTGGATACGTAATAACAGTGGACAGAGCAAAGCACAGAAGCAAATGTTCCTGCCTCAGCTTCCTGAGAACCTGTGATTTTCACTGTGCTTTTCACCATTTTGGAGAATGGTTCTCTGCCTTCTGCAGTCCACTGAGGAAAATCATGACCGGAAGTCACAGTATCTGACTAGATGTGTGGAATCTAGTTGGATAAGAAGCATCTTGGGTAAAAAAAATGAAAGGAATTGATGAAAACTACTCTGACCAGTGTCTGCCTATGAGTTACTGACTCTCCTCCCCTACTCATGGTGGCAACCTTGGTTAACTTGGGAACATCGGCCCCCAGCTGCCCTCAAAGAATACAAAAATCTAACCCTCGCTTTTTTTTTTTTTTTGCCCTACTATAATTACCAAATTTCTGCTGAGGCTGCTTGAGCGGTCAGGACAAGCCACTGATGAGCTGAGGCTTCAGCACCTCTGTCTATCCTCTCCCACCACCACCTACAATCATAAGGGAAGCCTGTTTCCAGATGCCTGTGATTTATTTCCAAAGGTGAGTTGCAGCACATAGGAAAATACACATGGCTTTTCAGTCTACATTTTTACAGAGAAAATAGATTCTGTCATTGGCTTTCTGAGTGCCATCACCCCATTCTGTGAGGCTCCAGGGTAGATGGCCTATCTCCAAGAGCCTGCTTTCAAAGCAGCAGCTTGGCCAAGGCCCCTGGGGGCAGGAACAAGGGGCAGCGAATCCCCCCACCATGGGTGCAGGTGGGGAGCACATGAGCAGCACTCATTGCAAAGCTAAGGCAAAGAACAGAGCTGGTGGGAGGTGCCCCCCTCACCCCAGGGACACGGCTTGCTGAAACCCAGGACACAGACCAGACAAGGGTGGGGATGGGGCCTCTGGCCCAGCCTGGAGCAGCAGCAGGACTCTATGTGCATGTGTGTATGGCGGGGGTAGAGGGGGCATGCTGAAGAGGCAGACTGCAGGGAGGTAGAGGGGCTTCAGCTCACATAGTCTCCCTGCCCCAACACAGCTCCCGGAGCGTGGTCCCCAATCCTGCACTTGGCCCCTTGAATTAGCTCTATTTCAGATGGGAGGGTTCAGCTCAGGTGCCTTCCACTACCACCTCCCCTCACACTGTCAGTGCAAAACATTCTTAGGGCCCAGCCTCCAATTCCCTGCACCCTGCCCAGGGCTGCAGGGAAGGGAGGAAAGGAAAGTGCTAGCTGGGGGCCTCGCCCAGCAGTGGGAATTCTTTGCACATCTCTCGGACAATCATGCGGTCCATCTGGCACTGTGGTGAGGCTTCCTCCTCCATTAGGATGCGTCGCAGCGTGGCCTGCAGGTCGGGTAGCCGGTGGCGGTGCTGCAGGTAGGGTGTGGAGCGGACCACTGCATGCATCAGGGAGAGGTACTCCATGCGCAGCTGTGGGGAGAGCAGGCAAGCTCAGGGACCTCAGAAAGGCACTGCAACTGCCACCAGAGGGGGCCAGCACTTTCTACCAGCTCACATCAGTGACGATCAGGGTTGTACCCCCAGCACCCAAAATGTACCTGACACAGAACTGGCCTTTGATAGTTGTTGAATAAGTGAACGAATGAATCATTCCAGTCACAGATAGTTCCAGAATGTGGCTGACCCAGGGTGCCCATCTCTTGGACAATCATGCAGTCCATCTGACACTGTGGTGAGGCTTCTTCCTCCTCCATCAGGATGCGTCACAAGACTTAGACTTGGCAAGAAGCAGCCAAGGGCGTCCACCCTTTAATGCTAGATCGTCACGGGGCTACTGTCAGGGAGCCAGAGGCCCTCTGCTGCTCACTTTATCCTCTCTCCTGGAAGATCTTATCCACACCCACGGCTTCAAATAGTGACCCACAACTATTTAAAGCTCTCGCCTAGACCTCTCCAGTGAGCTCAAGGTGCGAATAGCCAACTGTCCATTTTTATCGCCTGCATATCTCAGAGACCTCCAATTCATATATCTATCATCAAGTTCATGGTTGTCCCCATGTTCCCAAAGGTGAAGGATTTTCATGTTCTTTATCTTAATAAAGAGCTCTGCTGTCCATTCAACTGCACAGGGCAAAGACAGAAGGACACTCTTTGATCCTTCCTCCCTGCACCCCAAAACCAACCCATCTCTAAGACCAGGCCCTTATCACTTCCGGCAACCCCGCCCCCAACTCAGCCCCTCAGCACCTTGGTTTAAACAAGCTCCCGCAGCCTCTCCAGTTTGATAACCAATCAGTTTCTTGGGCTCACTGAGACCCCCAGTCCATGGACCTAAACCCAGCACATTTTTCTCTGTCAAACACTATAGTCTGTGTCTGCCTCACCACCCCTTATTGCTCTCCTTGTCTTTCACTAGAGGGGTCAACACCAATTCTATCCACCAGCATCTCCCTGCGAGCTCCCAAGCCCAGTCAGACCAAAGCACCTGCTAATCCAATCCTAGTGTCCGCAGTAGATACCTACAGAAATTCACCTGCCACAACCTCAAAGGGACATGTGGCACTGCCTGGGCCTCCCACTGCTTTTTTCTGCTGTGTTCACTCCCTTAAAGGACCACTGCCACCTGCTCTAGGTTTCTAGGTTGTCTAAACCTGAACTGCCTGGTTAGCTGGCCTTGTGCTTTGTTGAGAAAAGAAGCAATCCTTCAGAAACTCCTCTTCTTCCCCTCTCAGCATCCGTTCCCCGCCTGCTGCTCTGGCTCATGGGGCCATCCCTCCATATGGGCCCAGACCCTCCCCCGCTGCCTCATTTTCTTGACTCCCGCAGTGGCCCATTCTTCCCAAACATGGACCATTTCTCTATACTTACTGGATCATTCTGCCGGCTCAGTCACATGAATTGGCATCTTCAGCCTTTACACACTCTCCCTGCCCCACATCTCCCTCCAGCAATTCCTTTTCTCTGGCCCCCTTCACAGAAAAACTCACAAGCATCATCTCCATGACCGCTTTCAGCTTCTTCCTCATTCCTACCCTTCTCCAACTCAAAACTCTTTCTTCCCACTCAGATTCTCTCTCCTCCACTGACGTAGCTCGTCAGTCACTGCTGACCTCTGTGTGGCAAATCCAATGGCCGAGTGTCAGCCTTCATCTTACTGAGGGTCCTAACTTCGGAGACCCCTCATCTCCCTCCTCCAAACATGTGGCTCTGGGCTTCTGCTCTGGTGGTTTTCCTCCTGGGTTCCTCATGCTGGCTGTGTCCCTACTGTGTCCCTCGTCGAGGCCCGCACTTCCTCATGCCCTGTACGTCTCACTCCCTAGGTGACTGCATTGTCGCAGGCTTCCCATCACAGCTGTGTCCAGACAACTCTGCTCTCTCCAGTTCGAACTTTCAGCCCACTGTCTCCCTGGAGTCCTCTGTTACCTGGTATCTCCCTTCTTAATACTGACACAGCAAAACACAATGGTACTTTCCCCAAAAATGTTCTTCCCACTTCAGCAATCGGTACCGCATCTACATAGTTGCTCCAGCTTCCTGTTGGAGCCACTTCCAACATGGCCCTAACTTGAATCCATCTCCCATGACCATGCCTCTCCCCCGCCCTCCCCCAACCCCCCTGGCCACCTGCACAGGTGCGGCTGGTTCCTCTGCTTCCTCATGGATGACATTCCATTTGGGATGTCATTTCCTTCCCTTGGAGAAGAGTGCACAACCTCCTGCGGCTGCTTCCAAGGCTTTGTGTAAACTCAGCTTCCCCTTTCCTCACCTCCCTCCACTCTGACTCTCCACAGAGTTCACCTCCAGATCACTTCAAGGTTGGCTCCTTTGGGTCATCAGGGAGAAGTGCCCCACACTCACCAGGCTCCAGCAGCAACCCCATCCCTCCTATCTCTCCCCTGCCCTCCAATTTTGTTTCACTTTCCATACAGCAACCATCCCTGCCGCAGCCACCTCCAGGCACCTTGTCTCCAGGTGACAGGTCCGCGATGTGCCGCACAGTGATGTCAATGAGCGCCATCATGTCTGTGTGGTAGAAGATGGCGGCCGTGGCAGAGCTGGCGAACACATCCTGCAGGAACTTGAGGATGGAGTGTGGTGGCTGTGGCTCATGTTTGAAGATGCGCACAGGATCATCTAAAAGGCAGGGGAGGAGGGTCAGGGTATGAGCTGTCTTGGACATCCCAGAGTCACCCCAAGGGGTTTTATGGGAATCATGGAGTCACAGGACACTGAAGTGGCACAGCACAGATTCCTGGATCCTCACCTCCTCTGTTCAGGAGCAGCAGCAGCTTCTCAGAGAAGATCTTGACATTGGCATGTTTGCTCAGGGCAGCCATGATGACGTTTTGGTCAGGAGCTAAGGAAGGACATGGGTGTAAAAAACAGCAGAGGCTGGGCCTGGAGGGCCCCCCAGGCTGGCTAGCTACCCCCTGCCAGGGCCCCACCCCTACCTGGCAGATGTAAGTTGAGAGCCAGAAGCAGGTTCATGCAGAGATCCGGCAGCTGCTCTGTGGTGTCCAAGGGCAGCCCATCCTCGACAATACTCAGCAGGAACTGGGCGAAGGGTGTGCCCAGGTGCTCTGGGAGAGGGGCACATGGAACTCTGCAGCCCTGTCCCTTGTTCACCCACACCACCTATCCTCCCTGGGTTTCTGTGAGCCCTAGGACACCCTACCCTACCCAAGGCCAGTGGGTCCCCAGGTCCTCGGACCATGGGTCCCAGCTCAAGGGGTTCCCTGCAGCCAGCTGGTCGTGACCTGCCTTCTTACCATAGTGTGCATAGGGCACTGCCTCCCCCATGGAGAACACCATGGCCAGGATGAGGGCGGAGTAACAGAGTTTCTGGTGATCTAGGAGGGCAAGGCAGGCAGTGAGAGCTCCTACAGATGGCAGGATCTCCCTCACCCCACCAAATGGCAGGGAGCTCCCCTTTCCCCCTTGCCTCACCCTGTGTGTCTGTCTGCATGTCCCGGGCCAGCTCCACAGGAAGAACAGATGACACCAGTGTGGAGATGATGGCAGCATCCAGGCTGCACATGGCACCGAAGCACTTGAGGAGCAGCAGCCGCAGCGACACCCGGTGCTCCTGACAGAGAAAGCTGTGAGCTCAGTGCCCAGAATCCCAGCCTCTGCAGTCCCTCCTCAATACCTTCCCTGTCTCTCACACACCATTTGGTAATAGGCCACCAAGGCCAGGACAGACTCGAACTCATTTCTCTTGCACATTTTCTTGCAAACTTCAGGGTCCGCATCAGTCTGCAGGGAGAAGGAAGTATGGCAGTCACTGAGGGAGCTCTGTGTACTTTACAGGGCAGAGTCCTAAGCGCTGGAAAGGGATGGAGGAGCGATGCTGCTCCACACACCGGAGGACACACACGGACCCCCACCCTGTACCAGAATATGCAGCAGCTCCTCCAGGTAGCAGCGGATGACAGTCTCATCCTCGTACAGGGCCCAGCTGCGCTGCTGGGCATCGTCCTTCCGCCGAGCCAGGTCTGCGAAGATTACTTCTAGTCGCTGCTGGTCATGGCAGACTTGCCCTGAGGGCAGGGCAGTGCTCAGGTCCTGGGGGGAAGAGGGCAAGGCATGGCTCAGCACACTCCCTGTCCATCACCACCTCTACACAGTCCCCAAGACCTGCAGCCCAACCCAGAGCCCAAGGCCATGATGAGCTCCAGGCCAGTGGCAAGCAATGGTCCTCCTGGGACCTGTAAGAACAGACTCTGGTTCTCTACACCCTTCCCCCTCAGGCTCTCACAAAAGACCTGTTCCTATGGCCCATCCCTCAACTTCAAGGCTCTCAGGGACACTGGCCAGGTTCTACACTCCCCTCTCCAAGTAACTCCACTGACACCCAATCTTGATAACCTCCTGAGCCATGAAACACATCTGTGGGGGGCTTTCTAACATCTTGCCTCTCCACCCAGACCTGGATAAACATCTTCCATGAAGATACTCATGGATTCTGTCACTGACTGAGTGTGCCCAACCTCCCATTCCACAAAGTAGCAGCAGGCCTGACATCTACCCACCTCCCATGTTCCCCTTAAACCTTACCAGCTTGGCAGGGCCCATCATACCCAGGACAGGCAAGCCAACTGACCCACTGCTGGCCCACCCTGAACCAGAGCTGAGGGAGATGCAGAGCCCGAAGGAGGAACCTCTGGTGCATCTGGCCCCCATGTATAGACTGGGCTCACAGCCCTCCAACTCTGCTCCCTGACCGACCAATGTCCCAACCCTAGCAAAGAATTCCACCCACCCCATGATGCCAACACACCTCATTCACATCTGAGTCAGCATTTAAGCATCCACCATAGCTTTCAAAGCACCTATTTCTGTCCACTGTCAAGGCCAGCAAGGCACTGTCCTCACTCACGTCCTATGTGCATTCCTTCCCTGCAGCAGGAGAGAGCCCAGCCACCCACAACTTGTCTCACCTTCCCCCAAACTACATGTTCCCTCCCTTCCAGCCTTGCTGGCCTTGTTCCCCTTCTTCCTGTGAGCGAATCTCGGTCTGCCTCATGGCCCTTGTTCGGGCTGAGCCTGTGCCTGGAATGTTCTTCCTCCCTTTCTCTCTCAAAAATCAGCTCAAAGGTTCCTAGAACCAGCACAAGCTTAACAAATACCTGCAGGTAAAGGCTGGACACAAGTGTGAGGGTGGGAATGGGGCAGGGGTGGCAGGGCGGCCTGAGAATGGGGACGCCCCTGGCCCTGCTGCCCACCCTCACCTTGCCCTCTACCAGCGAGAGGAGGACCTGCTCCATGACAGGTGAGCTGGCCGGCACGGAGGCCTGGATGTGACCCACCACGACGCCAATGGCCACACGGCACAGCTCATGGCTCAGGCCGGTGTTTCTCCGCACGAGCTCCATCAGCTCTGCCCCGATGGTCTTGGGCACGGCCGTCTCAGCCACCGCCTTCTCCTCTGTGGTCCCCAGGCTCAGCGCACCCAGGGACTCCAGCTCATCGGGGGCTGAGGTTGCATCAACTGCCACCTCCTCTGTAGGGGGTTTGGGGGCTGGCGCCTTGGAGGGAGGAGGCTGAGTTTGGGATACAGTGGTATGGGTGCCTCGGCGGGGCACGGGTGGGGGCGTGGGTGAGCAGCTGGGGCCCTGCTCAGATGAGCTGGAGCCAGTATAGAGCGTGTCAAGAGAGGTGCTGCTGACTGAGGAGCCGCTGGACATAGAACTGCCCCCGGAGGGCGTGGTGTTGCGGCCGCCTGTGGGCAGAGAGTGGATGCTGTGCTGGGGTAGCCCCCCAGAGCCCTTACCCCTCCAAGCCCAGAGCCTCTGTCCCCCAGTACAGGGCCCAGTTCCACTGACAGCCCCTCCCCACCAAGCCCAAAACCCCCAACTGCCCCAACATGTGCCCTGTCTTCCCCCCAAGCCTGGAGCCCTACCTTCCTGACAGGAGAGCAACCACTCCAAGCACAGGGTGACCCCAAGTCCCCCCACCCTGCTTTCTCACCGCTCCCTGAGACCACCAGGGCCTCACGGTCTCGACGCTTCACAGGTGGGGGTGGTGTTGTCGGTGCTGCTCGGCGAGGCTGTGGTGGGATCTGGGAGGACAGAAATGGGATCTGGGGAAACAGGCTGCCACCTGGGTTGTGAGCCTGGCTAGGCCCTGAGCTCCTGGCATGGGCAGGGCTATAGCTCTGGGTTGCTTTACTGATCCAAGTGGACCCTTAGAGCCTCTGGATAAAGTCTTATGCACCACCCAGCTCTCTTCTCCAGGATGTTCTCACCATGTACCTGGTAGAGGCCTCCATCTGCCCCAAGATACTCAGAACTGGGCAGGCTGTGTTGCCGCTCGAACCCAGTTCGACACACCCCATTGGGCTGCCTGGCAGCAGCGGCATCCAGATGGTGGTCACTGGTGGATGGTGTCATAGCTGCAGGGTTGGAGGCTGAGGGGCCTCTGCGAGACAGGGTCTCCTTCCGGTGGTGGATCAGCTTCCTGATGGAGGGGAAGATTAGTGGGGGGGTTACCTCACGACTCCCAAAATCCTCATGTGTTCCCTGCGGGATGCTGGCCCTCACAGCCCAGCCTCTCCTACCTCCCACAACTCCATTCGACTCTGTACCACCCCCAGCCCTGTCCTTCACACACCCCTAGTACTCACTGAAGGACCCAGCCAACCCCAGGCTCACTGGGAAGTCCCCTCCCCGCCCCCACTCACTGGAGGACTCCGCGCTGTTCCAAGCTGTACTTGCCACCATCCCGCATGGCTGCATTGTGCACAGCCTCAATGGCCCGGTCAATGGCTTGGAGGACATCCTGCTCCAGGCCCTGGGTGGGGAGATGGCAAGGGGCCAGTTAGACCTAGGGACCAAGTGGGGGCACTCAGCCCAGACTCAGTGCAGGATGGAACCTGCAGCAGACAGAAGACTACAGATGAAGCCTGAAATACTACATGTGAGCACAGAAAGCTGAACTGGAACATGAAATGGGGTTCTCAAACTGCACCTCAGAGCCAGGGCATGAGTGTTGCCCATGCTGCCACTTTACATATAGGGGCTCCACTGGTCTATGCTATATGTCAGTGAGGTCCTCAGCTAAGACATCTCTGAAAACCAGGGGTCTAGAGCAAAAAATAGCCCAGAGATCCCTAGCCCAAGACCAGGAATACACACCTCGTCTGTTCCTAGGCACGGCTCAGAGCCCAGGCTGAGATGCAAAGCAGGGAGCCTCTAGTGTCTGGTACCTTAATAAATCTCTCTGGATCTTGTGGGTCCTTCACAAAACCAAGGTCATGCACCAGAATAGCCCTGTTCTCATAGAGCTTTCGCAGGCCTTGGAAGTTGAGGATGGGCTGAAAGGATTTCCTCTGTTGCCAGCCCTCATCCTCTCCAAGCTGTTTTAGGACTCTTCCAGCCCTACCCTGTGAAACAGCAGTTTTGGGTTTGTGGCAAAGGATGGACATGAAAGAGGGTCCTGGTCTCTGCTCCAGTGTCCCCAGTGTCTGGTTTGCCATCCCCAGCAACTCTAGGGTCCAATCTACCCTGTTTCTTTGGCAAAGGGTTAGGAGTAGGGGTGGCAGCTGTGGGACCAGTCTCCTCCATCCCTCCCCATCACTGGCACACATGGTCTGTCAGGCTACACAGAAGCCTCAGAACTGATATGACATCACTCCAGAGCGGGTTTGAGAAGCTGACAGAAGGATACAGAGGTCAGCAAAACCCCCAGGTAGTATGGAGAATGCCAGAGTACCAGGGGACAGAAAAGGGAGATTCAGACAAGCACAGAAATTAAGAAAGATAGGCACAGGGGGGAGGGAAAGACAGGCTGAGGGAAACAACGCAGAAAGAAATTGAGAGCCAAAGACAGAAGGGAGAGAATCAGAAAAAAAGGAGACACACACATATGGAGAGCTGGGCTGACACAGAGATAGTTAGGAAAACAGAGAGATACACAGAGAGAAACCAAGAGGGAGAGAGGATGGCAGCCTCTCTGTCCTCCCAAACATGCAACCCCACTCTCCTTGGCTGAGAAGGGGGCCTCACAGGTCCCTGGGGAGAGGCAGACAGGACTTCTCTCAGAGGACTCCAACAAGCCCCCAGCCCCAGAAAGATTGGATTTGACACACGCAGTCCAGGCACTCCTATGAGAGGATCAGACAGAAGGTGGGGGGCCCAGCACCTCTGAAATCGACCCCATGAGGGTACTCCCATTGTATCTCGCAGATCTGACAGGCACCTGAGGGGGTCTGGTCTCCATGTCCCTGCTCAGGCCGCACACCTTCCAGCAAAACCAGATGACATCCTTTTACCCTGCTATCTCTGTTCCGAACTTGGGATGTTTCCTAAAGGTTTCCTAAAGGATGGGGAGGAGGTGTCTGGCAAGAGGCTCCAACCCCTCCTTCCCACTATGGTCAGACTGGAACAACTGGAGCACTGCACCCCAGCCCCCACACCAGGGCTATTCTTGGGGAAACAGGAACTGGAGCTGCCTCCACTGAAAGGAAATGGACCATAGTCAGACCAGAGGAGTCATGGAAAGACCTCACTTCCTCACAGTGGAGCAGGCCCCACTCCAGGCTAGGGATGAGGAGAGATGCAGTTCCCGTACTTTCAGAGAAAGGAAGACTGTAAGTCAGGGTCTGAGGCTTGAGAGAAGGAGGGGAGAAGAGTGTCAGGAGGGACTGGGATCCTACATTCAAAGAGAGTTGTAGGTGGGAATGGGGTCTAGAAGAGCCTATGGCGTGGCTAAGTACAGGAGGGTGAAAGAAACAGATTTCAGGGCTTGGGGGATCACCTAGGAAACAGAGGTGTCTAGCCAGAGTCCAAGCTGGAGAGGGGTGAGGACATGGAGGATGGTTGGGAAAACAGGTGGTGTCTAAGGTGGCTGGGTCTGGGTGGTGGAGGCAATGGCTTTAGATAAGGATCTGAGTCCCACCTCCTAGGACCCTCTACCACAGAGTCCATGTTTGCCAACAGACCAGACTTGCTGTGCAGTGACGTCACCTTAGCTCTGATGGACCATGTGTGCCAGTGACAGGAGACGGGTGGAGGTGGCTGAACCTACAGTTGCCACCCCCTACTTCCCAACCCCATGCCATGCAGAATGGACAGAATGAGCCCCGAGTTCCTGGAGGTAGCAAGACAGAAACTGGATCCAGGGAAAGGGTCTCAGGGATCCGGGGAGCTGGTTAGAATTCGGTGGGGCTGGAATCTCACAGCTGACTCTTGAATTCTATACCTATATTGGGTTCCAATGGATCCGGGATCCCAGTCTCAGTTTGGAGAGGTTGGAGTCGTCAGAGTTGGCTGTCAAGGGCCTGGTCTGTGGGGGTGTTGGTTCTTGGGGTACCAGTCCGCATGGGTCTGGGGTTTCAACTCCTTATCTGTTGGAGGCCCCGACGGGCTTAGGGTTCCGCGTTCGGGCCGACGTACTATAATGGGGTCCAGAACTAGTGGCCACGGAGGTCGGGCCGGGGAGGGGCTCACTCACCTGCAGGCGGTGCAGGTAGGCGGGAGGCACGTAACCCGTCTCGCCACTGCGCGCCCGCGCCGCCAGCCACCAGTGCGCGCTGCTGCGTTCCAGCACCAGGAAGGTCTCCCCCGCGGCGAACGCCAGAGCATTGGGCTCCGCCGAGCGGAACGCGTACAACGCGCGGTACATGGGGACAGGACGGGCCGTGCCGGGCAGGGTGGGCGACCGGGTCTGCGGAACCAGAACGCCAGGCCGGGAGCGCGTCGCCGCGCTCGCCCCGCCCCGTAACGTAGTGCGCGTGCGCGCGCGCGCCCGCCGCAGCCCCGCCCCTGGAGTGGGTCTTCCCACGCACGGGAGCGCAGCGCCCCCTGGCGGTCCCCCAAGCGGCGCGGCTCGGGAGGCCGCTGCTGTTTCAGCCCGCGGTATCTCCGACTGCAGGCCTCCTCAGAGCCCCAGTCTCGTCTTCTCTGGCCCTTCATTCGCTTTCCCTGCTCCAGTCGGGAGTGCTGCGGCCCGTCGTACCTTCCGTAGGAGGGTTACCCCCGCAGCCCAACAACACAGCCAGTGTCCGCTCTGAAATCGACCCCATGAGGGTACTCCCACTGTATCTCGCTGATCTGACAGGCACCTGAGGGGGTCTGGTCTCCACGTCCCTGCTCAGGCCGCACACCGCGCTTGAGTAGCCGATGGGAAGTAAGAGTGAGGCAAGGGCCCTTGAAAACAGGAACCCGACTGGCACATTCCCTGTTCAAAACCTCACCCATCCTCACTCCCCACCCTACCTTCTCTCTTCAACCACCTGCTTCTTCAGCCTCTCTAAGGTGTGTCTTTGCATATTTCCTCTGCTTAGGACACTCCCTCCATCAGAGTATAAGGTCCTCATGACCCATCAGTCACTATACATTGCTGTCTTTATAGAACCACCCCAGATGGTCTTCCCCCTTCTGAGAGCAGAAAGGTGAGCTGCTAATGGGTGAGGGGGTTGGTGCCTTTTGACCTTAACAGCTTGTTGGACCCATTCATCTTTTCAGTCAGCCCTGACCTCAGGTCTCTGAAGTTCACAGTGCCTGGGGTTGCAGGATGGGGCTGGGAAATGGGGTGATTAGCCCAGGGGAGAGGCAAAGGGTCTGAGGAAAAGGTCGCTGGGAGTTTCCCATTCCTTTCCAGGGACTAGTCTAGTCACATTTCCCACTGGCAGTCTGAGCTCAAGGAACAGGGGGAGTGAGCACACCAGGCCAGTGTATACAGGTGACCTGGTTTTGTAAACAGTAAACACTGTCCCACAGTAAATACTGAGCCTTAGAGAGGAGGAGCTGGGTGGTTAAGATGCAGGGTGGATTTGCTAGAGCTGGACATCAGATCCTGTCTTCTTGGAACAGTGTCTGTGCTCTTCTCCCCACAGAGTGCAGTTCAAGACCTCCTGCCACACCTCCCACTCCTCCCAGAAGCCCTCTTAGCACAGTTCTCTTAGGGCTTCTTTGGCTAGAGTTGCGTGAAGGACAAAACTGGCATGGTTGTAGTGGTGACCCGGGCTGGAAAAGAAGAGACGGAAGGTATGGCCAAGAGGACCACCCTGGCCAAAACATCCCCTTCTCGTTGAGCCCCCACTTCCTGGGACCCTTTATTGCAGAGCTCATGGTTGCCACCAGGCAAGAATCTGATTGCCTGAGGTCCCAGTATTGGTTCCAGGACATCTAACATCACAAGGTTTGGCCAATCAGCTACTACCAGTGGTGCCAAAGTTTGGCATACCTTCTGCCCAGGCTGGAAAGTTTAGCGTAGTTCTTTGCATGGATGGTGCTGGGACACTAGACCAGCATCTGTATCTCAGAGGAGCCTGGCATGGTTATGTGTGTTGTCCTTTTTGTATAACCTTGGAATGTTGGTTAGGGGATGAGGACAATGCTAAGAAGCTGGGTCCACAGGGTGACAGCAGTAGCAAGGAGAATGCTGCTAATTCACAACAGAGGTCACAGCACGTATAGTGAGGGTTCTAAGGTGACCTGGTTTTGGACACTGTAAACACTGTGTCCACAGTAAATACTGAGCCTTGGAGAAGAGGTGCTGGGTAGTTCAGATGCAGGGTGAATTGCTAGAGCTGGACATGCCCTGGCAAGAATGACAGCAGCACTATGTACAATTAACAAAAAGATTTGTATTAGAACATTTCACTCAGGGAAGAAAGAGGTATCTGCATCATCAAATGTGGAATGTTGAAGAAATAGTTAAAATAAATATACTCCGAGCGTGGTTGGGGCTGGCTCAGGCTGGGACTCACAGAGGCCTCTGCACATCAGCTCCAGGCTGCAGGGGCCACCACCTGGCCATACTGGCCTCCTTCCCGACGCAGCACAGCTGTGCCTGGGACACAGAGTCTCTCAAGTGCTGGTGCAGCCAGCAAGCTCACTCCCCACTTTCCTCACTTATCTCTGTGACAATGTCTATCAGGCTTTGGAGCCCAAAGATATAGCCAGCATCCTGGCCCTCATGTACCACACTGTCCTCGCCATACAGCCTGCAGGTGGTATGCGCAAAGTCGATCATGCGCACGTCCACTGAGCTGGTGCCAATAGGCTTGTAGGCATAGGCACCAGCAGACTCGTCAGCTGACTCCTCTGACAGGTCCTCTAAGTCCTCAGCATCTGAGTCCAGGGCCACCTCAGGCCACTCCTTGCCATCATAGATGACTAATAGGGAGCTTGAGTAGAAGCGGTAGGACTCTTGTCGTTCCAACACTGCTTTAAGCTCAGTAAGCTTCTTAAGCACAGGGCCCAGGAGCTCACGGCGCAGGTACCGCCCATTGTGGAAGAACTGGAAAAGTGCCTCCTTGAAGCCTTGCACCGACAACTTCCGTCCGTGGTATTTGTTCATAAACATAAGCTGACCACTGCCCACCTGGTACACCTGTGGGAGCAAGACCAGCAGGTTAGATGCTGACAGCCATTCCAGACCCTAGACCCTGGGGTGTGACAGCTATATGACAGCCTGTATCAGATCCTTTTTTTTTTTTTTTTAAAGATTTATCTATTTTATACAAGAACTGGGGTACAAGTGAGAAGCACGGAGGGTGAGAGAGAATTCACCAGAGACAGAGCAGGGTGCAGAACAGGCATACAGACTGAAGACACTGCTGAGGGGAGCAGCGGGCGAGGCAGGAAAGGTCTGCTGTGCCATGTGGGGTTCTCCCTGGCCAGTGGGAAATTCAACCGGTGCTGCAGAGGCTGTGGACAGTTGTGCAGCGTGGCGCTCAATTGTTGCGCCACCGGGGCAGCCCCAGATCCTTTACTTGTTAAGTACACCAGATACCAACCTCTCAGAGCAACACCCACTCAGGATACAGCCCTCTGTTCTGGGTACTGTCCCCAGCACCTGCTCAATAGAGAGGGCCTAACCCTTTTGTTTTCCTCTCCCTCCTGTCCATCAACTCTGGATTCAGGCAGGCAGGCAGGCCAGCCCCTGAGGGGGTCATCCAGGCATCCTGTTTTCTAACCAGAAAGTGAGTCACTCAAGTCAAATTTGGACTCTTCTGAGAAAATAAGACCATGTGGGGGAGTGGTAGCTAATGGATGCACCAGCCAGCCCTCACCATGGAGAGCACTCCCCTCACCTGCATGCCACACACACGCACACCGATGACTGCAGATGTGCTCTGCTGGCATTTGCGGATCTGGTTGGCTGCCTTCTCCTCTGAAGCATCGTCACCATGCTGGCGTGTACCCATCTTGAGGTCCAGGACACAAGGGACCTCATAGCGGGAAGTCAGGTTCTCCAGTAAGATAAATTCTGAGTAGTTAAGGACAATTTTTATTTATTTATAATTTATTTATTTATTTATGCATATAAGAGCTGGGGTGTAGGCCAGAGGTGCAGGGGTGGTGGTGAGAGGATTCACCAGAGTCAGAGTGGGGAGCAGAACAGAACAGGTGGATCCACTGAAACACACTCCTAAGGGCAGCAGTGGGTGAGACAGGTCTGCTGTGCCACGTGGGCCAGCTCCCTGGCTGGGGATTGGATTTATGCTGCAGTGGCTGCAGATTGCTTCATAGTGCTGAGGCTTAATCCCCTGCGCCACCAGGGAGGCCCAAGGACAATTCTTCTAAAGAGGAAGTGCTATTGCACGGGCCTTAGCACTCCTAGTGCATACAGTGCCCCAGAGGGCCCTGTCAGTCCTGCTATGTCCCTTTAGAGAGCCTCAGCCCTCTTTTAGGCTAGAGGGCTAGAACACAGCTTTAATGGAACTGGCCTGAGAACGGCCTGGGTCCAGAATCAACAGAGACCTGGAGTCTCAAATTTCTGAACTCAGCAAGATATGGGACCAGGGTCCAAGAGCATAATGTCCCTGAATTAGAAACAGAACATTGAATAAATTCAGTAGCTCCTATGTGGCCTTAAATATGAACTAGAAATACCAGTATGAACTCATGAAAAGTTTCTTTTGCTGGGATCAGTGAACTATGGCCCACTATTTGTTGTACAACCTAAAAGTTAGGAATGGTTCATTCATATATATTTATACACACACACACATATACAAATATACACACACGTTGTGTGTGTATGTGTGTGTGTGTGTGTGTGTATATATATATATATATATATATATACATAAAAAGATTTTATTTATTTTTGCATAGAAGAACTGGGGTGTAGGCGAGGTGCAGAGGGTGAGAGGATTCACCAGAGACAGAATGGGGAACAGAACAGGCGGATCTACTGAAATACACTGCTGAGGGGAGCAGCAGGCGAGACAGGAGAGGTCTGCTGCACCATGTAGGTTAGCTCCCTGCCCGGTGATTGAGCTCAGGACGCAGAGGTGGCAGCACTGAGACTTAACCCCTAGGCCACTAGGGAGGCCCCTCTTGTATTTTTAAAAGGTCAAAATATACATAATACTTCATAACTTGTGAAAATAAAATTCAAATCTGTGATCACAGTTTTACTGGAATACAGTCACATGCATTCATTCACAATGTTGTCTATGGCGGCTTTCATGCTACAATGGTGGAGTTGTGACAGAATATATGGCTTATAAAGCCTAAAACATTTACAATTTGGCTTTATACTGAAAAGATTTGCAACCCCTGCCAAATGGATTCACATTTGGGGTAGGAAACAGTCACATCTAGAGTACATGGCCCTGGACCATCTTTTCATCCCAGAAAGAAAACCATCATACACTACTGTGATAGTGTCAAAATGATTTGGGAGCCTTTTTAAAAGGCTCCAATTGCCAAACATATAACAATTTAATTGAGCATCAATAAAGATAAATGAAACAGACTAAACTGTCAAATAATTTGAACTCATGGACTCATTGCTAAAAATTCACTGATCACCTTTGGAAGATGTTCAGAACCCCATTCCTAATTCCAAATATCTGGTAATTAAAGAAAAATGAACATTTAACTTGCCTTTCCTATATAAACTATACCTTAGAATAAGCATGTAGTTGATGAATAAGTTTCTCTTTATAGAATTCCAGTTAATTAACGAGAGAATGAGAGAATTACATAAAGGAAAAAAGGATCTAAGGCAAGGACAATAAAAAAGAGAATGACTTAACTGAACAGCTTCCTGATGGAAATGCATAGTGCCCCTTCTGAAGGATTCTTGCCCTGTTTCCCCTCCTTCCACCCCAAATTGTACTTGAATGTGACCAAGCCTGTAGATCAAATTATCAACTTAATGGAAACCGAGGGGACAGAGTAACAACAAACCACTGGGATATAATCAATAAAATCCAGACAGTGGGAAACTCTACAAGACCCAGTTTCTTTGACAAGAAATTTCCCGGGGGTAGGGGGGTAGGGGTGGGGGATTTAAACATTCAAAAGATTTAAACATTTCAGCCAAATGCAAATAAGCCATCAATAAAAGCGTTTAGGAGGCAATCAGGAAAATGTGGACACAAACTAGACATCTGATAGTATAAAATTACTATCTACTTTTTAGAACACTGGTATTCATGCTGAAAAGTAACCCTAACTAACCCTATCTTTTAAAGATACATGCAGAGGTGTAGACAGATGGAATGTATGGCTGAGACTTGTTTCAAAGAGTCCCGCTGTGGGAACTTGGGTATACAGATAGTCATCACCCAAGATTGATAGGAGTGGCTAACCTGCAGAACCTAGGTTAGCTGGCATTCGGAGGTTCAATGTGTCATTCTATTTTTTTTTTTTTAAAGATTTATTTATTTATTTATACAAGCACTGGGTACAGTCAGAAGCGCGGGAGGGTGAGAGAATTCACCAGAGCCACAGCGGAGAGAAGGACCGAAGTACACTGCTGAGGGGAGCAGCTGGCAGCAGGAGAGGTCTGCGCGCCATGCGGGACCCTCTTCCGGTGGCCGGGGAGCAGCTGGGGATCAAACCAGCGCTGCAGAGGCTACGGGCAGTTTTACAGTCCAGCGCTCAACTGCTGCACCACCGGGAAGGCCCCTGTCATTCTATTTTCAATGTTTAAAATTTTTCCTACTAAAAAGTTAAAAACATGCTCAATTCTGAGCAATTTTCTTCCATAAGGTTAAAAAAACAGCTTGGTAGCTTAAGGGGGGAGGGAAAGGACCCCACTGTTTCCATCATGTGCCAGTTTGGTGAATCGGGATTGAAAAATCGGCCCGTCACTCACTGTGTGGGGACTTCTGCAGAAATCTGAAAGCAAACCAGCATCTTACACTCTGAAGACCCCCTGATGAGGTTGGTCCCTTCACCAGTGCTCTTTACCCCCAGGGGCACATCCTCTCCCCACCATCTGTACTTGTAGATCACCTGTACTTCGCCGATTCCTTGGCCAGATGGAAGCGCTATTTGCCTACAATTTTCACATAGGGTATCCTGGCACAACCATGACCAAAAAATCCAACCCTTCTCTTTGAACTCCAAGGGTCTCTTCACTTCCTCCCCTCTCTCTCCAAGACAGAGATGCCCTGTGAAAAAGGATACTGTACTGGTTCCGATGTTTTGCATTCTCCTTCATTCTCTGTAACTGTTGTTGGTGACACTTCATGCTCCAAGGGTTATAGTGTTTAAGTTGGGAACTTACATTCCCCTTTTTCTCTACACTGTAGTACAAGACTTCGGATTTCTTCAGCCACTCAAATTCTTCTTCTAACTTATGGCTATAAAGAGACAAGGAACCAATAAATCACTATTACTTATCAAAATTCAGGACAAAAGAGCCATGAAGGAACTTTCAGGAGTGATGGGAAGTTTAATATCTTGATGTGGTGGTGATTTCAGCGCACACATTAAATGCTTCAAATGAGTACATTACATAAAAAAAGTGACTGAAAAAACAAAGGGGCTGCTGTTTCTTATAGCGAAGAGAACCCAAGATGCAAGCATAGTTTCTGGCGCCAGCCACACGTCCAAAGGCAGCCTTCACTATCCCCTTCGTCTAGATAATACCACCCATCCCTGGTTTCTGGTACATCCAGGCTCCCTGATTCCAGATACTGAAGAGTAGGGAAATCTGAATTGAAATTCCATAGGAATAAGTCAGCCTACTCAGCAACATTATATTCAATTTATATAAATTATCTATGTTTTCACAAGCTCTACCAAGGTGTAGCACTTGGAAGGCCCTGCTGAGAGTCCTCCTCTCTGATGCCCCAAGTTTCAGGGATGCCCAAGTGATCATTTTGTCTCTCATTATCAGCAGGCAATCTAAAGTGACAGGAAGGCTCCTGTCTTGGTCATCGCCACACCCCTAGGATGCAGCGCAGAGCCTGGCACAGGCAGTTGCAGAAGTGAGTGACCAATATTTTTATAGCTGCCACTGCAGGTGTTAAAACAGCAAGATCTAGGCAAGTCTCCTGTCCGCCTATGACTTTGCAGGTGTCTCACTTTTTCTTTCTCCTAATAAACCTGTCCTTTTAAAATGTTAAAAAAAAAAAAAAAAAAGCAGGATCTAGTCCAGAGTATAAGAAAAGGTGGGTGTGTCATATGGGAATTGGCCTCCGAGTGGAACCTGCTAACTTCGTTGTATGAATTCTTAACTCCAAGGGGCTGGGTTGTAATAACTAACAACTCCCATTCCATAGAATCCAGGGTTTTCCTCTCAGTCTATACCCACCTCTTCATCTTCTCCTCTTTTCGATGCTGTCGCACCCAGTCCTTGGGGGTCTTTTCCGTTTCTAGGACATGATGTTTTTTGTTTGTCCACCTTAGGAGTTTACTTTTTGGTTCACAGTCTGAATTATCTACATTGTCCACAGTTCCATGGTCCCCTTTTAATGGATATGCTATTAAACACAAGTTTCTGTCTTCATCTTCTTCAAAGCACACAGATACTACACCTGGGAGGGGATGAGGAGCAGAAAGGACTTTTAATTCTACAAGCATATGTGTTATAAGTAACATGATTGTAACATTTGTTTTTTTCTTACCCTGTTCCTTAGTCTCTAGGTTGCCAGAGGCCCCAAACTCATCTGCAAACCTAACAAATATCAAAACAGCTAGAAAAGATGACACCATACAAGACAAGCGATTAGGGAGCAAACATGGCTGAGAGTCTTCCTCTCTGGTGTACTCAACAAGGCAAGAGCCAAAGAATTACAAGACACATTTTTCCATCATTGAAAACGTTTATTAATTTGTATGTAACTCTTCTAATCCTAAAACGTAAAAACATTTGCTGTTTTTATCTTGTAGGAATTTTTAATGGCCTAAACAGAAACTCTTGACAGCCCAAGACTGGCTTTAAAGCAGAGTCTGAACACAGGGGGAACACAGGTTTGCCTGAGGGGTGCGGAGCATTCAGGGTGAGGGAGGACTGGGCAAGCAAAACAAAATAAAGGAGCAAACAAAACAAACCACACAGCACAACAGACACCTAGCAGAGGCTTCTTGCAGCGCCCCCACATGGGTGGACACTCCAAGCCTTCTGTCCTTCTCAAATGTTACTTTATTGGTCTTTGCAGTCTCAAGTCACAAAAGAACAAAATGAACACAAGGCAAACAGGGCTGGGCCTGGAGCACAGATGCATGGTGGCCTTCAAAGGAGCTCTCCCCTGGAGTCTCTAGAACCTGCCATGTGTAATTTACACAGTCTTTGAGGAGGGGCTGTTAGGCGTGAGCATTTCAGCAGGTGCCGACGAGCGCCTTACAACCGACTGGCTGAACACCTTTCCTCCCAGGCCTCTCTGGCCCCGGGTTCACTCAATTTGCTCAGTCCTTGCTGCCTGCCCGCTCGCTCGCTCGCTGCAGGGGAATGCGTGCTCAGAGAGAGACGACACTTCTCATTTGGTCCCCGGCTCTGAGAATTCAGGGGACCACACTTCCCTGTGGCCACAGGGGAAAGGCCCAGGGGAAATAAGGGGACAGGGGCAGCCAGCTAACAAGGGGCCTTTGGCTTTGTCCTGGAAAAAAACAACAGAGAAGGACCAAGTGAGGGCCCCCAACTCCCCCACCCCCACCACAACACACATGCATATTCAGAGTACAGAGAGAGACGCCCAGTACATTCTGTCTTTAAAGAGCATGTTTCAACAATACCAGAAAAACCTAAGTTGTTCAAGAGTCTTTTGTATAACCAAGCAATGCAAATTTAAAATTACTTTAATGGGTTCTTCTTTGATTTACAAAGGATCCCCCCTCCCCAGGAAAGTCCACACCATGCTGGTGGCTGCTAATGTCCCCCCAAATGCATTATAAAAGGGAAAAAAATCACCATGTATGAATCAAATGGTTGCCTTAATATAGCAATTTCGGGGACATTCCATAATAGCAAAGGGCTTCAGCTAATCAGCACAGGCCTCCCACTCCTGCATTCCATCTGACTCAATCCTGCTCCCAGCCTACCTAATCACCCGGACTTCTGGTTTCCTGGAGGACAAAAAGCAGGCGGCAAGTATTCTGTGTAAAATTCTCTCAAAGTCTTCCCCCGCTGTCCCCTCATGGGGGACTATGGGTAACTGTGATCAAGAGAGACCTGAACATAAAACACAACTACACTTCCACCAAAAATAAACTCAAAACAAACACATCCACAAAACAAAACAGAATTGAGCAATCTTACCAGGGCTTGAAAACTGAGGGTGTGAGGTGCTGGGCTGAGGGCCAAGAGGAGGAGGCGGGAAAACAGGGAGCCAGGAGGGGATGAGGGTTCCCTGGATGGCTGCCTGGGCCATGATTCCGTGGCCAGGCCTTCTCCAATCTCGCCAGGTGCTAGCTAACCCTATGGCAGCTGGGGGCTCACCTTTGTACTGGGGAGTGAATTTGCGCATCTCAGCCGGGAGGGTTTCGTAGAACTGGTGCTCCCTTGGGACCAGGGGCTTGCACAAGGTCGTCTCGTTGAAGCGGAGCACGCAGGAGTGACCCCCGACCTGGTGGCCAAAGGGCTCCAGGAGGACGCCCTTGGTGCGGGGCTCCACGTCCATGGCCCTGAAGGCTGGGCTCATCCTCCAGGCGCAGGCGGCCGGGAGAAGGGGGAGGCGGCAGGGTCCAGAGGCCAGCGCGTCCTCCGTCTGTTGTCTATCCGTGCGTGTGTCCCTCTATCAGGCCTCAGTTCCTCAGCTGTGCGGGGCAGGACGCTCTGCGGGAAGCAAACAGTGAGGTGGGAGTTGGAAGGAGCCTGGGAACCACCCTAGAGTCAGTCACCAGCCCTCCAGCTGAAAGACAAACAGCAGCAGCTCGCGCGCGGCCCCGCCCACGCCGCCCACTCCAGCCCCGCCCACTCCCTCGGAGACACAAAACAGCAAACAGCCCAGCTCTCGCGGGGCGGGGCACTGGGCGGGGACAGATGCCCACAGGGACTGGCTATAGGTGCCCCTAAATAGCTGGCGCTCCCAGACATGGGCGTTAGAAAGCTACACAGTCAAAACAGTCAAACACCTCCTTTTACCACCATGAGGTAAAATCTCAATTTCAATTTGGTATTTGGATTAAATCTTACTTTCTCATAAAACTGTTAAAGTCATTAATGCCCCAGTCTCTCGGTTAGCTACGTATTTTCAATAGATTATTTTTTAGAGCAGTTTTAGGTTCCCAGGAAAATTGTGAGGAAGACGAAGAGATTTCCCATATAGGCCTACTCCCCGGCCCACAACAGCCTCTCCTTTTTCAGTACCTCCCACGATACTGGTTACAACTGATGATGAACCAACACAGACATTATCATCACAGTTTACATTAGAATTCACTCTTGCATTTTATAAAATGTATTTAAAGAGACAACCTGCTTACACATCCTCTAGTAAGATTTACTTCCCCAAGAGTCCCATAAGCACCAATCCTGCCCACAGCCAAAGATGTGCCCCATTAACCTTATTAACAGTGGAGCGGGGCCTAGCTTTAATGATTAACGTCTGTGTCTAAAAACAACTGTTCATGGCTGACAAACCCCATTTACAAAGATACACAATGTTCTAGGTCACTGACTATTTTAATCGGTTCTATCCTGATCTCCAAATGCTGGGGCACACCTTTAAACCGAAGCTGTGCTCCTGTGGCAATCAAGGGCTGTCTCAGACCTTAGACCTGACTTGGAATCTCAGGCTACACATCACTTCTCAGCAAAACACACCTCCTGTGTGCTCTGTTAATCACTTCACAACATTCCAAGCTAGTTCTGTTTTCTGTCTATAATTTACAGACTACGCAGTCTCCACAAGCATTACTTACAGGGCTTGAGCTATACTTCAGTATCTCTACAGGGTCATTACTGGGAACTCCTTCAGTTCCCATGACTCCAACTGTGGTGCTGACAATGGGTCTGCAGAAGATGTGCCCAGTGTCCTCTGGTATGAGTAAAACACCGACCATATGCTAAGTTCTTTACAGGAACTTACCTCATTTGGACAAGGTACTTTAATGACAGAGACACTATCCTCCCTGGTGCAAACAATGAAGCTGATTTTGGGGGAAGTGAAGAGACTCATGCAGGGCCAGGAACAATAACCCACAGCTCCCAAGTGAAGCAACCGGCTGAATGCCCCCATGTAGCTGCCTCAAGGGCCCATGGTCTCCAGAACTTCTGCCCCAAGATAGTACTCCTATGTACATGGGACATTTAGTTTGTACCATGAGAATGCTTTCATCATATATTTAATTTTCTAGTTATAAAGTAGCCTCCTTTAAAGTGTTGAAGCTGGTGTTGATCTCTTCCTTTTAAAGAGTGGGCCCCAACTGGGCTCAAGGGTTAGGAATCAATAAGTTTTCCTATATGTAAAAAGCAGAAACCCAGAGGTTCTGATTCTCACCTTTACTACCCTCTCATTCACAGAATGCCTCAGAGGACATGTGGAAATAGTTCCAGCACACAACACAGGCAACTAGCACTAAGGATGTTTACATCCCAGCCACTCCTTACTCTCTCAGAAGGTGGCACTCTGGGGCACCTGGCCTCACTGTAAGCGTCTATACAGACCAGTTCACGAGTCTACTAAAAATGGAATACCGAAGGAAAGCTACTGGTCTGCATCAAAGACGGAACCAGATACCATATTTATTAAACTGTAAAGCAAGACACTTCCTATGGCCCAGAATTCAGAAACACAATCCAAACCGTTCATAAAAGTGTAAAACAGCTTTTGTTATCAGAGTCATGCTACCTATTAATGCCAATCCCTCTCCAACTTTGTTCAGGAATTCTTAAATGTAGTCAATTAAGTGAAAAGTCTCTGACTTCTTTCTTACTCATCCCCACCTCCAATGAAAAAATCTAAAACAAAAACCAGTCTTTCATAGCAACTCTCTAGAGTATGGTTCATGGGTGTGGCTAAAGGTGGAAAGGCCAGGTAAAGGTCTCCACCTCACCTCCTCTGAGGTCCCCAGTGGGTTCATTAGCTGCTGGGTATGACATGGCACCCTGCCACACACCCTCCCTGGTCCCTGCCAATACCTCTGGCAGTCCACAGCGCACTGCTCCCAGGAGAAGCTTCATCTTGGGTAGAGAGGCAAGAAAAATAAGGCCCATTTTCACCTGACCCAAGTCTGATGACAGAGAAAACTCCCAAATGTGAGTCAGAATTAGGGAGACAACGGATTATCCAGTTAGCTGGAGCCATATTCAAATCCCAGTTCTGCTGTTCAATTATTTAGGGAGATTCCAAATATCCCTGACTCCCTTTAGGTTCCAGTTTTCTGGTTTATAATATGGAGAGGAGAGGCTTAGATCTCTACTCTGTAGACTGTAATCAAATTAGTGAGTGGTAATCAGTATTTTGTTAGTTTGTCTGGATAAAATAGGAAAACAGTAAATATAAGTGCACTGCACATCGTCAATCCTGTTTTGTCTTTTATTTAAATGATGTTCATTCTCTCAATATGAACATACATATGGTTTCAATGTACAATATGTTTCTCACATTTGAGGTTGCAGACATAGAAGTAGAGGTTCTATTCTACCATTTCTCATAGACTCTAGCCTGTGGGAAAATAAAGGATCAACTGTTTCCAAGGACATCACCTTCCTCACTAGCAGCCTCAAACTAGCAAGAAAGAAGTATCCAAAGATCTCGCTCTGTTTCATCTGCTACATTCTCTGTTCCCCATGTAGTTTGAGCAGTGGGATCTCTTAATGGCTCTTAAACAACTGAGGTCTAAGGCCCAGTTTCCCAGGAATCCTGGAGTAGTAACTGTGAAGTCCATGAGATGTGTGGACCCTCTACCTAGAGAGACAAGGAATAACTAAAATATTGGCTTTAGATTTTAACTTCTAACATTGCTTCACATTTGCTCATGAAACAATGAATAAAGAACAGGACATGACTCATCCTAGGCTAGGGTAAAGCCACCTAAACCAACCAAATTGATTTAGGGATCTGCTGGAAACAATACCTTAATATTCTTGACTTTTAAAGTATTGCAAATAAAACAACTATGACTCATGTGCCTCCCTGGTGGTGCAAGGGGTTAAGACACAACCTATGAAGCTACCCACAACGTCTGCAGCACGAATTCGATTCCTGGCCAGCCAGGGAGCAACCCACATGGCGCAGCAGACCTCTCCTGACTCGCCCGCTGCTCCCCTTTGGTCAATCTGCCTGTCCTGTTCCCCGCTCTGTCTCTGGTGAATCTTCTCACCCCCGCACCTCTGGTCTGTACCCCAGCTCTTGTTTGCATAAATAAATAAATCTTTAAAAAAAATATAAAACAACTATGACTCATGAAAACCCCTGGGCCCTGAGCTCATATAGCCAGAATTTAATGATGTTACAAACAGGATCTTCTGGGCCCACTTATTCTGCTTTAAAGCCCCAGAGCCAAGTAGTCACATGGGATGGTGGGAAGCACACTAGTCTGGTAGTGGAAAACAACCCTTTCCACCAGCACCTCCTCTGTGAGCCCCAAAGCCACCCACCACCTGGCATCTGCACACATCTGTACACAACCCACAACTACACCACCACAGTAGGTCATGAGAACTCTCAAACATTGCTGGTAGGAATACAAAAAGGTACAACCACTTGGAAAAGCAGTCTGGCAGTTTCTTATCAAGTTAAACATATACTTGTTATATGACCCAGCAATCCCAGTCATAAGTATTTGCCTAAGAGAAATTAAAACAAAAATCCACACAAAGACTTCTACATGAATATTTAATAACAGTACTATGCACAATAGCAAAAGATGGAAACAACCCAAATGGGTGAGGAAATAAACAAACTGGTATATACATATTTTGGGTATTTATTCATCAATAAAAGGAATGTATTGATACACACAACAACAAAAGCGGATCACAAAAACATGTTAAATGAAAAAAGCCAATCACTCTATGTATTTTATGATTTCATAATATGAAATTCCAGAAAAAGCATAATTACAGTAGCAGGAAGCAGGTAAGCGGGAGGGGGGGGGGCGCTGGGCGGGAATAAGTAGGGGAGCTGACTTTATGCAAAGGGGCCCAGAGGACTTTTAAGAGTAATGAAAATGGGGCCTCCCTGGTGGCGCAAGGGTTAAGACGCAACCTATGAAGCTATCCGCAGCCACTGCAACACGAGTTCAATCCCCCGGCCCCCCAGGGAACTACCCACATGGTGCAGCAGAACTCTTCTTCTGACTCACCCTCACCTGCTGCTCCCCTCAGCAGCGTACTTCGTCCAATCTGCCTGTTCTGTTCCCCACTCTGTCTCTGGTGAATCCTCTCACCCCCCCCCACCTCTGGCCTGTACCCCAGTTCTTGCATGCATAAATAAATAAATCTTTTTTAAAAAGAGTAATGAAAATGTTCTATACTGTGACTGGAAGAGTGATTATATAAACTTGTCAACACTCATCAAATTACAGACTTAAAATTGATGAATTTTATTGTCATAAATTAAAAGGATTACATTTCCTTTTTAAAAAAGATTTATTTATTTATGCACATAAGAGGTGGAGTGCAGGCCAGAGGTGTGGGGGAGAGGGGTGTAGGGGGTAGGGTGAGAGGATTCACCAGAGACAGAGCAGGGAACAGAATAGGCAGATCTACTGAAATACACTGCTGAGGGGAGCAGCGGGTGAGACGGGAGAGTTCTACTGCACCATGTGGGTCACCTCCCTGGTGGGAGATGGAACTCATGCTGCAGTGGCTGCGGATAGCTTCATAGTGCTGAACCTTAACCCCCTGTGCCACCAGGGAGGCCCCAAAAGGATTAAATTTCTTACACACTTTTAAATTAACATAATTTTCATAATAAATACGTATTTCTTTCATAACCAGAAGACTATCCTTAAAAAGGTCACACTAGCTGCTAAATAGCTTCTACATGCAAATGCACTGGCTGAAGTTTACTTCTTGTCTACTTTAACTAGGTTCATTCACCTCACACTAAGCATTCTGAATCTTTATACCAAGGTTAGCCAGGCTGCTATCTTGGTTAAAGGATTCCTCTTTTACTGTGAAGACACCCAACCCCCAACCCCCATGGTAGACTTTTAAGACAACTATTTCCCCCTCATATATCCATGACACCAAGCCATCTCATTCTGAAAGTCTAATTATTATCAGGGTCATAATGTTAGCAGACTTCTATTAGTTGCATGGTTATTCTTTCCAGTTCTTGTCAAGTTAAAGCAAAAGCATCCTTTACAAACAAAATAAAAAACATCCTTTATACATCCTTTTATATAATAGAAGCATAAAAGTTCAATAATACTTTCTGTAAAACACCCATAGAGAAAGAAAAATCACTATCAAATTTGTTCCAATTACAACGGCTTTCTTGTTATTTCTCAAACATGCTTGGCATATACCCGCCTCAGGACTTTTGCACCTGCCATTCCTTCTGCTAGTACATTCTTCCCTAGATATCCACTTGACTTATTATTCTCTTACCTCTTCCTGCTCTTCATGCAAATGTCAGGTCTTTAATGAGGTCTTCCTTAGCCACCCATCTAAAAGTATCACAACTCTTACACAATCCTGCTTTCTTTTCTCCTTGGTACTTGTAACCATCTAACAGTTTGCCTATGTCTTATTTTTTGTCTTCCCTACCCTGCCACCACCGAAAACCAAAAATCTTTAAAAAGTCAAGAGATTTTTTGACAGTTCTGTTCACTGCTGAATCTCTAGTGTAGAAAAGCACCAGCACAGAGTAGACACTCCACAGATGTACCGTAAATCACTACTGCATCACAAATACCTGCTGCATACAGATCAACAAGAGATTCCAAGGCACCCACTGCAATTATCTAAACCCACACCGACCATACAGTGAGTACAATGATTAAAACACTTTATAAAATGCATTCTGAGCACTGACTGGTGTTTATTTTGCTTTTATAATCTCCTACCTTACTAAGTCTGCTTTAACTAGGAAGTATAAATGAATGACGCTCCAGCTGAACACTCAACTAGGGCCTGCTGGTATGGAAACATTAATGTAAACAAAGCATGGACTCTTAATGTAAGGACAAACAACCTCTTGGAAAATTCTCTGGTGTAGAAAATCAGGCAAGGAAAGGACGGTCACTAAAGAATAAACTTTAAAGGGGCCTCCCTGGTGACGCAGCGGGTTAAGCACAACACTATGAAACTGTCCACAACCTCTGCAGCATGAGTTCGATCCCCAGCCACACAGGGAGCAACCCATGTGGCATAGCAGACCTCGCCTGACTCACCCGCTGCTCCTCACCAGGAAAGGGGGAGGTTCCCTGTTACACTTTCAGCAGTGTATTTCAGCAGATCCGCCTGTTCTGGTCCCCACTGTCTCTGGTGAATTCTCTCACAGGCCCCCCCCCATCTCTGGCCTGTACCGCAGCTCTTGCATGCATAAATAAATAAATCTTTTAAAAAAATAAACTCTAGGGCCTCCTGGTGGCGCAGCAGTTGAGCGCTGGGTTGCGAAGCTGCCCGCAGCCTCTGCAGCGCCAGTTCGATCCCCGGCTGCTCCCCAGCCACTGGAGGAAGGTCCCACATGACGCGCAGACCTCTCCTGCCACCTGTGCTCCCCTCAGTAGTGTGCTTCGGTCCTTCTGCCTGCTCTGCTCCCCACTCTGGCTCTGATGAATTCTCTCATCCTCCCACGCTTCTGACTGTATCCAGTGCTTGTATAAATAAAATTAAATAAATAAATCTTTAAAAAAATAAAAATAAATGTTAAAAATATGGTTACAAGAAGATTAAAATACTATCATAACTTAAAACAAATATACAACTCATATTCAGAAATTCTGTATTTATACTGAGATACTGAGTTCATATCCCAAAAACCCAAGGTTTTCAGGTTGCTAAATCATCACTGACAGATAATTACCGCCATCTTTTTGCAGGCAGAGCAAATAAAGGCCAAGGGTTGGTGCTGAGCACATGCAGAAGGCCTCTTCAACAATGCTGGTGTCTCAGGCAAGATGACATGGAAGGAAAATCATTTCCTCCATGACCTGGACTTCCAGTGAAGTTGTACAACAAATAAGGCACAGTCACTGGAGACAAAATGAATATACAAAAAGGAGTTTTAGCAAAATAAAAGCAGAAAGGAAAAGAAAAGTTGTCAGTGTTTACCTTGAGGGAGGCACTAAGGACAGTGACTGACCAGACTGACATGTCTAGGTACCTGATATCAAACTACTGCCAATCTCAGGAAAATTATCACCACTGCTCAATTGAAAAACAAAAAAAATCAAGTACCTGCAGGTCACGTTTAATCCCCCATCATGTATGCAGTCACCTCCACATCCAACAATACAGGGGACATACTAGTAGGATACTAGTAAAAGTTTGCTTACTGGTATTTCATTTTTTAAAAGAGATTTATTTTATTTATGCCTACAACAACTGGGGTGTTGGCCAGAGGTGCAAGGGGTGAGAGGATTCACCAGAAAGTGAGGAACAGAACAGGCGAATCTACTGAAATACACTGCTGAAGGGAGCAGCAGGCAAGATAGGAGAGGTGTGCTCCACCATGTGGGTTAGCTCCCTGGCAGGGGATGGAACTCTTGTTGCAGTGGCTGGCAACAGCTTGATAGCACTGAGACTTTAACCACTGAACCACCAGGGAAGCCCCCCAATATTTCATTTTTTAAAAAAACATTTATTTATTTATCTATACAAGCACTGGGCACAGCCAGAAGTGCAGGAGGGTGAGAGAACCCACCAGAGCCAGAGCGGGGAACAGAACAGACAGACTGACGAAATACACTGCTGAGGGGAGCAGCAGGCACGGCAGGAGAGGTCTGTCACACCATGTGGGACCCCCGCCGGTGGCCAGGGATCGAACAGCCTTACAGCCCAGCGCTCAACTGCTGTGCCACCAGGGGAGGCTCCCCAATATTTCATTTTTTAACAATATGAGAAAATGCTTATGATATACTCTTCAAGTGAAGTCAGCAAGATACAAAATTATATCATTTCTATTTTCTGGACTACGTCTAAAGGCTTAGAGAGGAAAAGACTGGCAAAAATATCAGTCATGCCACTGAACTTTGTACAATTAAAAAATAGTTATAATGGTGAATTTTATATTATGTGCATTTTACTACATACACAAAATTAAAAACCCAAGTAGCAACTACTTTTCATGGTTATCTACTCCCTTCCACAGCCTATAGTATAGTCATTGTATAGAAAAATGCAGTGCCTTGAATGCCTTTAAGTCTCACAGCTCATGTATGAAAGAAATGTGATAGTTTCTCAAATCTAACAACAATCTTAAAAATCTACATAACAAATGATGAATTATGTAGTGGAAAGGAACTTCCAGGGGCCTCCCCAGTGGTGGCGCAGCGGTTGAGCGCTCGGTTGCAAAGGTGCCCACCTCTGCAGCGCCGGTTCAATCCCCGGCTCCCAGGCAAAGGTCCCATATGGTGCACAGATCTCTCCTGCCACCCACTGCTCCCCTCAGCAGTGTATCGTCAGTCTGCCTGTTCTGTTTCCCTCTCTGGCTCTGGTGAATTCTCTCACTCTCCTGCGCTTGACTGTACCCAGTGCTTGTATAAATAAAAAAAAAAATCTTTAAAAAAAAATTAGTAAAAAAAAGTGTATAAAAAAAAAAAATGTTGCCCCAAAATGTAGAGAGAAATGTAATTGTTTTGCCTACTTTTTGAAACTTGTAACTTCTAGAGATTTCTTTTCAATCTAAATATTCACTTTCTTATCCAACTGCTTTCATAACTATAAATTATTTTGTATGAATAACTAAATTATTTTGTATGAAGATGGCACTTATAACTACTTCTTAATTATAAATTATATTTATAAATTGTATATATGTTACATTATATAAATTTTAGATACCACAAAACTTGAATATGCTCTGTACTAAGTGGTAAGATTGCCACTCACTTCTCTTTGGTCTTCTGAACGTTCCAAACGTCTTGAAATATTCTCAAACTCAGAGCATTATGCTACATTTACAATTGGAAAGAAAAGTATTAGGGGAAAAAAAAAAAAAGAAAAAGATTTCACTGAGACCAAAATAGGAAAACTCAGATGGCTCTCAGCACTTGAAGGTTTTTAACTCATCCATAAAAACACACTGACCCAAGCTATACTGCACACTCAGAGCTCCATTCCATGATGGAGACCCTGGGAGATGGATCACATGGGAACCAGTGTGGATTAACAACCTCAACACACTCTGTGTTGTACATGCCCTAAGGTGTGTACAACGGAGGATCAGAGGAAGAAGTGACCAACTCCTCAGCCTTCAATGAAAATGGGTGACAACCACGCTGGAGATAAGAGTTGCCTTTATTGAACTCTGTTCTGTACTCCTTCACTCTTCTAACAGCCCTCTGGTGTACAAATGGGTACAACTAAGGTACCTCGAGGTTACCACATCCCCAAGGTCTCATCACAGAAAACAACATATACCTAAAATGAAATAGTCACTGCTGAGAACACTAGAATTATTGTCATCCTAAGCTCAAAGGACCGCAGCTGACTGGCTGGGAGAGTCACCTCCATGTTACATCAGGAGCTACTTCCACCAAAGCAACAGACCAAGAGACCAAACACTAGTGTCCTACAACAGCTTGAACAGATGCCCTCAGTCTAACACTAGGTGTTCATTTTCTTCCTTATTAGCATTTTATTCTAGTTGTAATAAAGGAGAACACTATCAGGTGCAAGGGGAATTATTTCAAGAAAGTCACAACATGCTAAGGGAAAAATAAAACAGTAGATTCTGTTCCAAAAATTTGGACAAGCTTTTCCATAAGAGGAAATAATAGCCTCCCAAATGCTTCTCTCCCCTGGAACCGCCAGCATGACCATACTGCCCCATCTCTTTGCCTATCAGACCAGAAGATGTCTGGAATGACAGGCCGGATGGTGCCAAGATGGAGGAGGACAGGGAGAAGAAGCAGTCAACCTATTGAGAAATATATTCATCAGAGAGTCTCCCTGGTGGCACAAGGGATTAAGACGCAACCTATGAAGCTCACCGCAGCCGCTGCAGCACGAGTTCGATCCCCGGCCAGGGAGCTACCCACATGGCACACCAGACCTCTCCTGACTGGCCCGCTGCTCCCTTCAGCAGTATGTTTCAGTCGATCTGCCTGTTCTGTTCCCTACTCTGTCTCTGGTGAGCCTTCTCACCCCCACAACTCTGACCTGTTCCCCAGTTCTTGTATGTATAAATAAATAAATCTTTAAAAAAAAAATAAAGAAATATATTCAGAGCTACACTGCTAGAATTAGTTTTTTTTTTTTTAATAGAGGCATGTTTATTTATTTATTTGTTTGTTTGTTTGTTTATACAAGCACTGGGTACAGTCAGAAGCGCGGGAGGGTGAGAGAATTCACCAGAGCCAGAGCGGGGAGAAGAGCAGGCAGAAGGACCGAAGTACACTGCTGAGGGGAGCAGCGGGCGGCAGGAGAGGTCTGCGCACCATGTGGGACCCTCCTCTGGTGGCCGGGGAGCAGCCGGGGATCGAACCGGCGGCTCAGAGGCCGCAGGTAGCTTCGCAACCCAGCGCTCAACCGCAGCGCCACCGGGGAGGCCCAGTTTTTTTTTTTTTTTAATATCTTGTTTGTTTGTTGTTTTTTTTTTTTTAAAGATTTATTTAATTATTTATATAAGCACTGGGTACAGTCAGAAGCGCGGGAGGGTGAGAGAATTCACCAGAGCCAGAGCAGGGAGCAGAGCAGGCAGAAGGACCGAAGCACACCGCTGAGGGGAGCAGTGGGCGGCAGGAGAGGTCTGCGCGCCATGTGGGACCCTCCTCCAGTGGCCGGGGAGCAGCCGGGGATCGAACCGGCGCCGCAGAGGCCGCTGGCAGCCTCGCAATCCAGCGCTCAACCGCTGCGCCACTGGGGAGGCCCTAGAATTAGTTTTTGAAAGAAAAATATTTGAAAGAATTTTTTAGAACTACAGCTTTTATTAACTGAAACTGTGGCAAAATGCCCTCAAGGAAATAAATGTTAATGATTCTAAGGTCCCATGTCCTCTTTATCAAATTTTCTTAAAAATAGCTAAATGTAGGGCCTCCCCGATGGCGCAGCAGTTGAGCGCTGGGTTGCGACGCTGCCCGCAGCCTCTGCAGCACGTTCAATCCCCGGCTGCTCCCCGGCCACCGGAGGAGGGTCCCACATGGCGCGCAGACCTCTCCTGCCGCCCGCTGCTCCCTTCAGTAGTGTACCTCGGTCCTTCTGCCTGCTCTGCTTCCTGCTCTGGCTCTGGTGAATCCTCTCACCCTCCCGCGCTTCTGACTGTACCCAGTGCTTGTATAAACAAAACAAACAAATAAATAAATAAAACATGCCTCTATAAAAAAAAAATCTTTAAAAAAAAAAAAATAGCTAAATGTATTCCACAAATCTTTCACACCATGAATTTTCAATCCTCCTCTAAAAGTCCATTACCCCTTTTGAGGGCAATTGGTGTCCAGCCTCCTCCTCCTCCTCCTCAATGCAGACTATGACACCCACAACTCAGGAGAAAACATACTCAATGGAGATGGTCAGACATGACCCCCTCAGACTATGACCAAAGTTGCTCTGAAGTCTTGATCTATGGGGGACTTTGCTACCTTGATTTACAGTTCACTAATGTGCTGGTAAGTGATGATCATCGGCTATCGCTAAGATTATATGCTCCCTGCCTGTGGTCAATGTTTACCCCTGCCTAGCTCTCAAGCCTGCTCCCAAACCAGATGACGCATGAACGCATCCTCTCAAACAAATATGCTAAAAATAATTCAGTCCTCCTGTGCAGCCACAGAACCCAAGCAGTCTGGATCTGGCCAGGCCAGCAGCCTGAGATTATACCTGTTGGTGAAGGGTCAAGGTGTGCCTGTGACAAAGGGACACAATTTTCTCAGGTCCTCAAAATACCTCACTCAGGTAAATATCCCCCCGACCCTGCCTCAAGAGTCTGCAAAAATGTCCCAGGTTCACAGCACCAAATTTGGCAACTTTTATCACCCAACCACTCTGTCTGAGTACAGTCAGCACTCTGCTAACAGCCAGGGAAAGAATGAGA